ATGAACTAATTTCCTATAGAAAGGACGTCAAAGAAAACACATTCAATAATATAAATTCAACTTTGTTGTTATTACAACTTAAAATATATTAATAAATGTATGTGCCCTAGGTAACATGGTGACCAGCAACTACAAACTAATATTACCTTCAATCAAATGATTTAAAATATAAATCATAACTCATTCTCTTAGTTCATTCACATTTGCTCCTAGTTTAATATACACTGATTTATGCTAATCAGGTATAGGACTTGCAAATCACATATTTAGGAAACCTGTTGAGTGCAGTGGGGCATTTTTTCCTAGGTATAAGTGGGGTGTCGTTGGCTTCAACAGGGAGCAAGCCAATTAATTAACCAACCAAAGCCGACATTAATTGTTGAACATAACAAACTGAAAACTCAAGTGTAACTAGCATACTACTTGCATAACTTGGATTAAGCAACACATTACATGCCTTACAATTTCTGATTACGGAAGCACATGCATTAGTGTAGTGGACGATTAATTGTGGATATGTCTTTACTTGTGTCTGTATGAGCTAGGTTAACCAACGCTGTGAGGGTCTATGTCCCCCGGGGTACTGCCGGAACGTACCCTGGGTACGGTCCGGTATACCGGAACGTACCCTGGTACTATCTAATATGCCGTACCGTACCTCGCCTACTCCACTAACGAGTCTAGGTAGTCGCCTACGCCTACTCCCTAACCCTAACCCGAATCCGAACCCTAATCCTAACCCTAACCATATCAAATAGTGACCAGGGTACGTTCCGGCAGTACCCTGGGGGACATAGACCCTATGAGCTTAACCAACTATCACATCTAACTCCTCAAGTATGCGAATACTTAAACGAATTTGAGGCTATACAATTTCCAACCTATTTGAAACCAAGAGCGACTAGGAGGAAACCCGTTTAGACATCGTTTAGTACAATCTTGCAAAATTGCAAACCAATATGATGGTTAATAATTGAGATTTTCAGAGATAACTTACAATAAATAAAATATTGTCATTAATTGTTTTTAAATATTTAGCCTAGAAAGCCTGCAACAATGTTAACTCGATTGAACTGATATACTACAGTATTAAGATGGTTTTCTTCCTATTCGCCATAGCATAATAGTCAGGGGTGGTAGGGCTAAAAAAGGGCCGTTTGGTTCACATTCTTCCAAAAGCACCAAATTTGACCCAGATGTTGCCCATACCATACTTTTTCGATTTCGGGCGGGCGCCGGAATCGGCGCCCCACGGGGCCGCCATATTGGCAAATTCCAATATGGCCACCACCCGGGTTGGGGGTCAATCTAGTTAAACATCCAAAAGAACTATAATCATAAATAATACCACTTTTTAGGGGTTTTCAAGGTCTGGGAATCTGATTCCGATTTTACTTCAGTGATTTGAGGTCAAGGTCACCCCTCAAGGTCACCCAAAGGTCATTTTGGGGTCAAATATGTCATTTTTTAGTGTTTTTTGTCAATATATACAAACAGCACCTCATTTTATCAGTTTCCGAGGTTGAGTAACCCGAATCTGACCTTATTTGAACGATTTGAGGCAATATTGCATGTCAGGGTCACGATAGAGGTCACCCGACCGAGAGGTGAATCGTACGTCAATTATAGGTAAAAAACCAAAAGTGCTAGAATCAGACATAATACCACTTTTTAGGGATTTGTGGCCTCTGAGAATCCGATTCTGATCTTATTTATAGGATTCGAAGTCAAGGTCACCCCTCAAGGTCACCCTAAAGGTCATTTTGGGGTCAAACCCAGTGTTTCTGGTGTGTCACCCCACATCCAAAAAAGTTTGAGATTTTCTCCACAGAAACACTTTTGCCAAGACACACTGCAGCGACAATTTTGGGGCAAAGATGGCGGCCGGCCTGTTAGGCGTTTCAGTTGCTCTCCTTTTATCGACAATTTTAAACGCAAGGACCTCTTATCTC